GCCACCTTGCTCTTTGTCACTTATCATAACTCTATCTGGATTTTAAATGAAAACTCCACCTTCTGGCTAGCACCGTGATCTTTGATCCCTTCTTAACTTGTCTCACCTTCTCCCTAGTTACCCATGTCAGATTCATCAAAGGTCACATCTCTACTCATGATAAATTTAGTAGTTCTTGTTTCTTCTATACACCATAGTCGATAACCTTTTACTCCTGTCGCATATCCTAGAAATATGCACTTCATTACCCTTGGCTCAAGTTTAACATCATTCACATAAGCATATGTAGGTCACCTAAATATACGTAAACCAGAATAGTCAGAGGGTTTCCCAGACCATACCTCTTGAGGAGTCTTCAAGTCTATTGCAGTTGATGGTGATCTGTTCACTAGATAGCATGCAGTGTTAACTGCTTCCACCCATAATTGCTTGGATAAGTTAGCAAATATCCACATGCACCTTGCACGTTGCATGAGTGTTTGGTTCATACGTTCTGCCACTCCATTTTGCTATGGTGTGTGTCGTACAGGGAGGTGCCTCACTATACCTTCTGCCTTGCAGAAATTATGAAATGGAGCATTGTAGAACTCCAACCCATTATCTGTCCTTAGAGTCAATAACCTTTTTTTATACACCACAATCGATAACCTTTTACTCGTGTCGCATATCCTAGAAATATGTAATTTATTACCCTTGGCTCAAGTTTACCATCATTCACATGAGCATATGCAGGTAACCCAAATATATGTAAACCATAATAGTCAGAGGGTTTCCCGGACTATACCTCTTGAGGAGTCTTCAAGTCTATTGCAGTTGATGGTGATTTGTTCACCAGATAGCATGTAGTGTTAACTGCTTCCACCCAGAATTGCTTGGATAAGTTATCAAATATCTACATGTACCTTGCATGTTGCATGAGTGTTTGGTTCATACGTTCTGTTACTCCATTTTGCTATGGTGTGTGTCGTACTGGGCGGTGCCTCACTATACCTTCTTTCTTGCAGAAATTGTCAAATGGAGCATTGCAGAACTCCAACCCAGTGTCTGTCCTCAGAGTCTTGACCTGTTTTCCAATACTTTTTTTAACCATGGTCTTCCACTCCTTGAACTTCCCAAACACCTCATCCTTCTTCCTTAGAAAGTACAACCAAACCTTCCTAGAATAGTCATCAATGAACAACACAAAGTATGAGCATCCTCCTTGAGACTTCACTAGTGCAGGACCCCATAGATCTAAGTGAACATACTGCGTGATTTCATTGCTTGTGTGTTGAACAGTACCGAACTTCACTTGCGATGCTTCCCTTGATGCAAGATTCACAAAACTTTATCTTTCCAGTAGCCTCTCCACCAAGCAGTCCTTGTTTATTTAGAACTGGCATGCCCTTCTCACTCATGTTCCCCAACCTACGATGCCATAACTCTGTCTTGTCATCACCTTTATTCAAGGATTAGGAGATAGCCACCATTCCCATAACTGTACTGCCTTTTAGGATATATATCCCTCCACGATTCATCTTCCCTTTCATTATAACCAGAGAGCCTTTGGTCACTTTGACCCAATCACCTTCACCAGTGTACCCATCCTATTTTTAGCCAATGTGCCAAGAGAAATTAGATTCTTCTGAAGTTCTAGAACATACCATCAATCTAACTTCCTGACCATGACATCATGAATCTTGATCTGCACTGTGAAACTATCTTTGATACCGCTTACCCAATCATCACCCATCTTGACTATGCCATCCCACTCTTTGAAGGAGTCGAACTAGTGACGATTATACGTCATATGATAGGATGCTCCATAATTCAAGACCCTAGCATTAGCAGAACTTGATGTACACATAGTCAGTAAATCACCATCATCACCTTCATCTGAACTTTCCTAAACCATAGCAGCAGTGTTATTGCTGCTTGATTTACTCTTGGACTTCCCATTCTTCAGCTATGGAAAATTTCACTTGAAGTGCCCCTTCTCCTTATAATTATAACATTTCATCTTTGATGAACCTTTAAACTTTGATCTTGAACGTGATCTCCCTCTGTTTTCCTATTTCCTCTCTTCTATCATCCCTCTCCCTACAAACAAACCGAAAGTAGACACCTCCTCTCCACCTGAAACTTTTCTTTTCAGTTCCTTGGACATCAGAGAGTCCTTCATATCATTCACAGTGATCGTTGTTCTAACATAAAGCATGGTATCAATGAAATTCGAATATGAGTTAGGAAGTGAACATAAGAGAATGAGCAACTGATCTTTATCTACAATCTTCACATCAACACCTTGTAGATCCAAGATGATATGATTGAAGTTATCCCAATGATCTTTCACTTGGGTACTTTCATACATTTTTGGAGTGTACAGCCTTTGCTTCTAATATAAACTGTTTGCCAGTGAGTTGTTTTGGTACTTGTCATAAAGTTTATCCCAAAGCCCAGAAGCAGTTATTTGATCCACAACCTCCCTTGGTACTTCATCTGTCAAGCTCAATAGAATGGCACTATGTGCCTTCGTCAGAATATCCACCTTCTTATCAGCTGCCATGTCCTTTGGCAGTTTTATCTCTCCTTTTAGTTCTGCCACACATCCTTGTTGAACCAAAAGAGCCCTCATATTCACCATCCATAAAGTGAATTCATTTTAGCTATTGAACTTCTCCAAATCAAACTTGTGAGTAGACATCTTCAATCACAGGAAAACAAATCGCAGCTCTGATACCACTTGTTAGGAAGTAAAGTGGATAACTAGCAAAACCAAAAGCACAAAAGACATAGTATTTACATGGTCCGGTCAAGGAGACCTACGTTTACGGGAAGGAGTGGAGTATTTTTTATTTCAGAGCTCTCAACAAAGAGGTTACAAGTATAATTACACATAGATTCGCCTATCACTCTAGAATTCAAAATACAAAATAACCTAGCATGCATCCCTATTTATACTTGAGGGATCAGAACTAAAACCCTAATGGGCCAAGCACATTGACCCATAGGCCAATGAAGGTTGTTAACCAATCACAATCCACCATGCAACATGTTCTAGAAGATTCTTGAGCATTATCATCTTTTAGGCATAATTGGATAAACATGGCACATCAAAGGAATCAATATGGCGCATCATGTTCCAAGATAGTCCATGATGGCGCAACAACTTCTTCATAGCTCAAAAGCAACCCTAGTTGGTGCAACAGGCATCCCTATTGACCCATCTATTCATCATGTGGCTCAACAAGGACCCCTTTGTTGATCCATATCCCTTCCATCTGCTCCAAACCTCTTCCAAGTGCTCAAAACTCCTTCCAAGTGCTCTAAACACCCTTGTACACGATCCGTTCCTTTGACACTTGATCAGTTCATTTTTCTGATGATCTATTGTTCTCTCAAAAAATATGTTCCTTTATCACATGCTCCATGAATCCCAAGTGCTCGTTTGAGGTCCAAGTGCTGCAAATGCTTCGTAAACATGCTCCGAATGCTCAAGTCACATTTAACAATATTGATTTTCCTAGGAAGCATACGGCGTTTTCTATAGGTGTGTGGCACTCATCAGTGCGTTGGCTCCACCCAACGAATGACACATGTTGGCTTCCTATTGGACCACGTCTGCAAAATCTATCGTGAATCTAAGTGTCAGGCCTTACGACCCGCGTGGCGCGTACATGCGCAAACTAAATTTTGTAAAATTCATATATCTTGTATACGAACTCCTTTGTCGACGTTCTTTATATCCACACGTAGCTATTAACAAGTACTACATTTCAGCCTGGAATAGACTAGAGCCAATTTTGACTTTGGAGACAAACTTATTAGAGACTAAATTTCAAACCCCGATAAACTTTCATAAATTTTGATTTTGGAAATAACTTATTAAGAACTCAATTTTAGTTTTTGATAGAATTGCACCAATTTTGGCATTTGAAAAGAAACTTTCTAAAAACTGAATTTCAATCCCTAATGAACATGGATTATTTTAGATTCGAATGGACTATAAGTTAGTATACATGATTGATTATTTACTTATAGATATATTAGACACCAATTAATTAGTCACAAAGGAAGCTTATTAGGGACTAACATTGAGTGTTAAAGTAACCTAATTTTATATTTGGATGAAAAATATTTAAGGATTGAATTTCAGTCCCACATAAACATGTGTCGGTGTTGATGTTTTAAGTAACTTATTAGTGGTTGAATTTAAAATATTTAAGGATTGAATTTCAGTCCACATAAACATGTGTCGGTGTTGATTGTTTAAATAACTTAGTGGTTGAATTTGATGTCTTTAAGACATATTATGGTCATATATATATATATATATATATATATATATATATATATATATATATATATATATATATATATATATATATATATATATATATCGAGACTAATGAATCAATAAGATATAGTATGTTGTACAAATGTCTAGCTGTACCATATTATAATAATAATGATGATAATACTAATATTAATAGTATAATACTAATACTGATACTATAGTGTTAGTATTATATTTATATCAACCAACTTTTTTCATCACTCACCAAACATCAATCTCCGTTGGAGGATCAGTACCATTGTTAATAATAATGTATTCTTTTTCATGAGTAACGTATGTAAATAAGATTTACTGAAATGAAAATGATATTGATGATAAGAGATCGAACGAAGCCTTAGCATCTTTTGAATGCTAAAAGTACACGTAAAGTGGAACAAAAGAATATTAATCAAGAGCAACTCAACACTTTCTTGATTTAAATAACCTTTTCGGGGTTTGATCTAATTAAGAACCAAAAGAATTATCAAGAACTCGAGGCTGTATTATTCTTTTGATACCGGATCAGATGCCTTGAACTGTGAGATCGAAATTCTGTACACATGAGAGAGAGAGAGAGAGAGAGAGAGAGAGAGAGAGAGAGAGAGATTTGTGCGGTTTTGACGACATCTCCTTACATACGTGGTAGCTCTTTGTTTGGGTCAATAATCAACCCCCCCCCCCCCCCTCTCTATACATTTTTGACAAAAAAAAAATACAAAGTTAAATTAGGTTATGCAATTTTTTTTCTATCAAAGTATTGGAGGGATCAAGGAGATACTGTAGAGATTAGAATGGAAGGCATCCTCGGATTATTGAAGTTGCGAGTGAAGAGAGGGATTAATCTTGCAGTTCGTGACGCCAAAAGCAGCGATCCTTATCTCGTTGCAACCTTGGATGGCCAGGTCTAGCTCTCTATTCCACCAAATTAAAAAAATTAAAAAATCTTAAATGATCTAAGTTTCTTGCTTGATATATTTTATACATTGCTCTTCTACACCGGAAACATGAAAGAAGTAATTAAATCGATTCCTTATTGTTGTTGTCTTCATTTGATCATATAACGTTTTAAAATGAATCATATTAATTTGAATTTTTTTATGTTATCGTATATTGAAATACCAGCTTTCAGCCATATATACAGAAAGGTATTGCGGAAACAAATAAAGAACAAGAATCTGAGATGAAGAACAATGAAAATTTTCATGCTATCATATATTGCGTTAATGATCTAGCTACTTTTAATGTTCTTTTTGAAATGGGACAATAAAGAACAGGAATCTGGGACAAAATTTTAATTTCAAGATTCTATTAGAAAGGGATACTAAAGGCAATGGATCCCATAAATTCCATTTAGTGACCAAGCATGCCTTCATAGACACCCTTAAATATTGCTAAAAAAATGTCTTGTTAATCTTTTATCGAAAATAGAAGGTTTTTGAGATGGTATACGACATGTAAGTTTTCATTTAAAGGATCATAAGTATCTTTATCTGTTTTCGATGTCTCTAAATTGCATCAATGTGATTAATTCAAACAATAATGAAAAGAAAATCAAACTCCGGAACTCTTGATTTCCATAGTCAGCTCTCATGGAAGAACTTGCGTTGTAATTCAGAAAACAAAGACTAAGGTCATCAAGGGGAATTGCAATCCTGTCTGGGATGATGAATTGACTCTCACCATGAGGGATCCTAAAACTCCAATTAGTATTGTAAGTATCCACCTTTCGAAAATCTTGACTCCAAATAAAAAAATCTAATGACACTATTCTAAATCATACACAACTAGAGTTCAATATATTCTATTATTTTTGTTCAAAAGCAAATTTGTTTACCATATTTCAGGCTGTGTACGACAGGGATAGGTTTAGCAATGATGATAGTATGGGTGTGGCAGACATAGATGTGAAACCCTACATTGAATGCCTTAAAAAGGGTTTGGACTTGAAAAACGTCCCAAATGGTACAAAACTCGAACGTATCCAACCCAAAAAGCAAAACTATTTATCCGATGAGAGTTGCATCGTTTGGGAGAATGGAAAAATTGTACAAGACATGGTCGTTCGATTGACGGACGTTGAATGCGGTGAAGTTGTACTTCAAATAGAGTTGATTCCTGTTGCGGGTTGTAAATTACATGTCTAGAAAACCATATATGGTTGGATTTTTTCTACTTTATTTCCTATGTGTATGAAATATAACCTAGTATGTTTACGTTTTATAAACAAGATTACACTTACGTGATGTTATGTTTCAATTTAAAAAAATGCAGGTAGTGTATTTATAATCAGAGTTAATTTGTATTTTGGAATACAATGACACAAAGCTAAGAACTAAATAGGTATATGTCATTGTACTCCACCTGAACATATAATGGCAGATTGGGGGGAAAAGATAAAAAGAAAGAAAAAAGAATAGAAAGGACGCATGGATCGAAAGCAGATCTAAATCAAGGCATGCATAGTCGTAATAGAAGGATTTTTGCAAAAAAAAAATTGTGCAGTTTGAGAAGGGTTAATGCTACCAAATAGTAGTAACAGTCACAAATTTATGCACCAAGTCACTAATCGTTTAATTCTACTTATACTATGTCCTTATAAGTGTAGTATTTTTTTGTGTCAAGGTCACCGTTAGTGATTTATGACCGGGTAAATCGGTTATATGTTTTGATGATTTTGCATGTTTACATGGCGAAAATCGTAGGTTTTAATCTTGACAGTGGTTTAAGTTTATTTTAGTATTTGTTTTGTTTAATGACTTAAATAATTAGGTGGAATATGGGTCATGTTAGGAACGAGTTTTTGGGCTCTTTATAATGTTAGATGTGGTGATTAAAATTAGGAAACGTAGGGCTTAGTTTTTGTTTAGAGTCGTTAGGTTTTATAGGCTATAAAAACATTTTGTTTTCGGAATAAAAGTGCAGCAACGTAGAGTACGAAAATATCTTCTTTCTCCATCTATTCCTCTTTCCTGAAAATCACATATCAACTGTTGTTTTTGTATTGTATGTTGCTGGTTCAGGACTGGTCCTGAAGAATTAAATATTTTTAAAGGTCCAGGATGAGTAAAAAAAAAAAAAACCTTACCGTTATTATAAGTTTTTGTTTTTAAATAAAAATATATAATAAAAAAATTAGATCATGTACACGTGCCCACTTTGTTGCAGTCAAGTGTAAATTAAAGGGTTTGATTTTGAACATTTGTTATTAGAATCTAGGCTTGATTAGAAGAAAGCAAGTGGTGATTTCATGACAAATCGCATGAAGGATTGAAAATATCACTACTGTAGACAAGGCCGCCAGAAAGAAAGAAAGAAGAAAGAAGAAAGAAGAAAGAAGAAAGAAGACTGTGACAACTTGTTGCTTACTTGAGAAAGAAAGAAACACATAAATGTACAAACTTTTACCAAATTACTTGGAAAAATAGACAACAAGTTTAGGAAAGAAGAATGACATGAGGATCAAAAGAAATTGTAATTCAAGGTACCGTTGTACCATTTTAGTGCCCTAGATTAACCGAGACCAATTACACTACTTGGTCTAGTATGATTGAAATTATGTTAAGGGTATATGGATATTGGGATGTTATAACCAAAGATGTGGTTGAAGAGAAGAAAATTATACCACTAAAGGTATAATTTTCCAAACTCTACTATAAAATGTTATCTTGCAGGTTGCTAACCACAAAGAGTGCCAAAGAAGTTTCGGAAGCAATCAACGTTTGGTATATAGGAATCGAACAGGTGCAAAAGGCAAGGTTACAAACCTTAAGAAATGAACTAGAGATGCTAAAGAAGAAGGACAATGAGTCAATCAATGACTTTTCAGGCAACATAAATGGTACTGTTGCCAAATTCAATAGCCTTGGCTCAGCTCTTGAAGATGAGGAGATTCTAAGGAAGTTTTGTCAATTTGAATCCAAAGAAATACCTGCCAATTGAAGCTCCTATTGAAAAATATTCTGATCGTGCAACTGTGTCATTTGAAGAATCAGTTGGAAGGGTTAAAGCTTACTAAGAAAGGCTTCAAAGTCATGAAGGAAAAGAGGAAGAGTAAGATCAACTCATGATGGCAAGTGAACAAAGGTATGGTGAAAATAGGGATGAGCATTAGAACCGCCGGAACCGGAACCGGACCGGAACCGAACCGGAACCGGAACCGGAATTGGTAATAGGTCTGGTTACCGGTTCTCCATTTTTATGAAAACCGGTCCCGGTTCTAAGAACCGGAACCGGTTTGACATTTTTTTCATTTTTAAAAATGCGCATAACTCGCTCATATGAAGTCGAAATTATTTGATTTTTTTTCCAACATGTAATTTGGAGTTTGTAATTCATTTTTGACGATACAAACATATGTTTTGGTTAGATATTGAATCAGACACATGCCTCAAAACAAAGCATATCAATGTTGCGTTTTTTTATTTCAGCATTATTTTTTGTTTTTTTGAATATGTCCCATTTTTTAAATGTGTATAACTCATTCATATGACGTCGGAATCACTTAATTTTTTTTCCATCATGTAATTTGATGTTTGTAGTTCATTTTAGACTATAAAAACACATATTTTGGTTAGATATTGAATCAGTTATAGACCCCGGAAGACAACATATCAATGCTGCGTTTTTTCTGTTTCAACATTTTTTATTTTTTTGGAATCTGTCCCTGCTTTTAAAATGCACATAACTCACTCATATGAAGTCGTAATTAGTTGATTCTTTTTTCAACATGTAATTTAGTGTTTGTACTTCAATTTAGAATGTAAAAAGTCATAATTTGGTTAAATATTGAATCATTTACAAGCTCCAGAAGATAACATATAATCTATAGTATTTCAACCGGTTCTACTTTGAAAAATAACCGAAAAACCGGGACCGGAACCGGAACCGGCGCTAGAACCGGCGGTCCGGTTCCCGGTTCTTATAATATACGAAAACCGGTTCCGGTTCCGAACCGGTCCGGTTCCAAAGCTCATCCCTAGGTGAAAGTAGTGGACACGGAAGAGGGATGTGGAAGAAACTTTGAAAGAGGTGGAAGAGGTCGGGGAAGAGGAAGAGGTTGAGGTGACAAAAGTGGATTTCAGTACTTTAATTGTGGAGACTTTGGACACTCTAGTTATTAGTGCATAAAGTGGAATGACAAATACAATAACAAAGAAGCAAAGTTGATCCAAGAGGAAGAACCGGCATTGCTTTGATGAAGAAGTGAGTCAAGATTAAGGGATGAATGTAGGTTTTAATCTTGACAGTGGTTTAAGTTTATTTTAGTATTTGTTTTGTTTAATGAGTTAAATAATTAGGTAGAATGGGTCATGTTAGGAACGAGTCCATAGGATCTTCAAAATGTTAGATGTGGTGATTAAAATTAGAAAACGTGTAACAATCTGTAAAAATTGGTTAAAGTTTGGCAGTCAAACCACCACGAACCGCTATGTGTTAAGGACCAATCGTGTGTAATTTTATCTTTATAATGTACAATAAAGATATTATATTCATAATTACTTTTACAAACATCTCAAACTGCTCAAACCATCTATTGTTGAAAATCGAATTGAAAATCACCAAAAAAAATAATTTTATTAACTTAAAAAAAAGTATGCAATAAATATATCAAAGAGAGTTATGGATAAGAAATATGACTAGATTACGTTCTACTAATTTCGTGGATATAAAGAACGTCCAACATGGTGATCGTATGAATAAGTTACGTCTATTTTAAGTTATAAAATCAATATTTATTTTTTTCCCCTGAAACAAATTGTGCACTGCTCCGTTTGAAATAGTTAAGAACCTCGTAAACTGCTTTACAACATGTTTTTGAACTCAAATTATGGTATATTTGTCACACTCCCAAACCAGGATGGCGGAAACGTCTAGGGGCGAGTGATTATCATGTAGTGTATCATAACAGTTGAATATAAATATTCAAAGCAAACACAACCAACATATATATAAATGAAAAAGTTACATCATTTGTGCGTATTACATGTTTCAAAATATCATTTACAACATGTTGTCAAAAGATTTGTTTAGACGCCTAAACGTCCCATCCTCAAAGTCAATTGTTACCTGATTTACTGATTTCATAAGAACACAAGTTATTTGAAAAGAGAGTATTAACATTTAAGTTGGTGAGTTCATAAACATTTGTATGTATATTTGTAAACCTTTTCTGTGGAATGTAGTAATTTTTGTTCTCCAGAAAATCCTATATTTTCCCTAAAATGAGATGTAGACTTAAATGAACCAAGACTGAAGTGTATAAGTAATTTTCCTACTTAAAATAATGTCATGCAGTTTTGTTTGTATATAAAATTGTTTAAAGACTGTCTTTGCGTAAAATAAAAGTGTCGTTGTTGTTTTATGTGAGTTTTCATTTTTATTTGATAACCATGATTGATTGACCCAGACTGCCTTGTTCACAACATTCTTCAGGTGTCGATTTCGTTATGACATTTGTCACCCCCAAGCCTGTCAGTCCAGCTGTTGCAAACAACTAAGGTGCGGGATTGTCAGTCTCAATATAGATCTATACACAACTATCACGTTTTCCCTACAAGAGACTCTGGTTATATTTAACAGGACTTTCGTGTGTACTTTATAAGGTACCGTGACGACAAAACTCATTAAATCTGTTCAACGAGTTTACTTGTTTTTTTGCTGTAAATGTTTGTATCAATGATTATCCCCTAAGACTGGGATAGCTATGATAAACGCCATGAAATCTTTAGATATGCATTTGATAATATTTTACCCTTTTGTTCAACAGGATACAAAGGGGGTAAAGTTTCGTAAACTATATTTGTACATTTTTTATGCAGAAGAAAAGTTTGTAAACGAAACATACATATGCAAATTGTTATATATATATATATATATATATATATATATATATATATATATATATATATATATATATATATATATATATTAAAGTATAATTTGGTTTGTTTCGTAATTGTTGTTCATATTCTTACGTTTTTATTAGAAACTTTGCATCAAATAATCCTTATGTTTGATAGTAAAGACCTTTTTGTACTTATCATTTTTATTAAAATTTTAATTAAACGTATTTATATGATTGTGTTGTAAGTTCCTTAATGTATAAACCTTGCTCAAAATGTTAGAAGGTGTTAATAAATCTATAAACCACTTTTAACAGTTTTATCCTTTACTGTCCATGTTTTCAGAAAATTTATAGAAAAATCATCATAAGTCTAAAATTGAATCTGTAACCTCTGAG